GTTGGATTTTTATATTTTGATAGGCAAAATCAGAGTAAATCAATTTGCTTAGTTCTTAGTTGAATCATTCAAACTTAAATATTGCTTATGTTTATTAAAAATTATTGCATTCGGCTCGATAAAAGAAAGGAGTCACAAGTTTCTCGCTTGATTTAAGTATTTGTATTAAGTATTATGAAATAGATTAAATTTAGCAGATAACGTTTTTTTTTTTTTTTGCATTTGTAAGTTTTCTTTGCCTTAACTTAACGGCTAAATTTGGTTTATATACAATGCTTAACCCCTTTTTTGTCGAATGCATTAAGCGCCAAAAAAAAAAAAATTGATTGTTGCTGCAGTTTTTTTTTTTTTTTTTAATTTTTTTCGTTCAGTTTTGGTTTTTACACTTTGCTTCCAAAGGGAAAAAGTATATTGCTTTTTTCTTTATATTAAAGCAGCTTTTCTCGTTTGCTAGCTAATAATATAGTTTATTTATAACTATATAATGTATAATATAATTTTATTTTTACTTTGTTTGCTTTTGCTGAAGTATTTCGGTGAGAATTAAAAAGGCATGCAAATATTTTGTGCTTGAATGCAATAAGATATAGGTATATGTATATAGTTTACTGGCTATAAATAGGCCCTAGAAAACGTAATTTCATATTATGTATAAATATATACGTACATGTATGTCGTGGCGTTGGTAATACTAACGTCTTCTGCTTCGTACAGTTCACTAGCTGAGAAATGCTTTAATTCGTGTTCTATCAGACTCTATTTCCGATAGCATTCTGATCGTTTATCGATAACATAGCGAACCTATGTCCTCTCTCTCTCTGACAGTCAACATCATAATATTACACCGATACGACATATATGTATATACATATTATTTATATATACATGTACCATATAAACAATATCTGATGATATTTCACGTTAATCAAATTTGGCCTCTATCAATGCAAAGTTTGTTCATGAATTGTTAATTGTGCTGAGCAATCGAATAGTTGATTAGAGTGTGTTAAACCTTGTTTTTGCTTAGTATATGTTTAGCTACTTGCTTTGAGTAACGGAAACCAGATTATGTCAGCTTCTATTTATTGCAGCAATTTCTAGATTTATTTTGTTTTCCTTTTCCAACCAACACATTTTCAGTTTCAGTTTAGAACAAAAGTCTTGAGTACATGTTTTTTTTTTTCACATTTTACTATATTAATATCATTGCACTTCAAATTGGTGTTAAGCAAGTGATTTCACAATTTCTATTATTATATATTAATATTAACAAAAATATCTCTAAAAAATGTTTAATTTCATATATACGTGTATATTATTTTCATTGATTGCTTTTCTGCTGGAAACGTTTCCACTAAAAACTATACTAATACTTCAGACATCATATCGAATGATCACTGTAGCAACTGAAACTCAATTTTCGAAGAAATCGTCTACAAAAACGTAACGCAAGCATTAAGAAAAATTCCTTTAATGAAAACAAGATAATAATCAGAATAAAATTGAAATATCGAACACTAAGAATAATATAGAAACTCAAAGCAATATTGACGAATAGATAACATAGGTGTAAAGTAAGTGGATCGAATAGAGTATAGGTTGTATAAAGCACATTGCACCAGAGAATGTACAATCGAAATATGTATAAATAGTATGCCCTGAACCCAGATGACACTAAAATATTTCATTTATCGTTTCTTATTTAAGTTTTTAGTTTTTTTAAGGAGTTTAAGGAGTTTTTAATGGAAATATCGGTTTATAAATTTGTTTAACGGTATGGTTGCTTTAAAGCTGAAAGCTTTTTACTTGATGTATGTCAGGGTATTTCCTGGTCAGGCAGTCAAATATATCGGAGTAGAGCGAACAAAATTCTTCTGCTATGCTGTAAAGCTAAAAGTGGAGATAAAAGACTCTCTATTTTGGCTGAGTTATTCATGTGTATAAAGAAAACGATGCAGATCTCAGGATATTAGAAAGGCAAACTTTTCAGGGTATTTCCTAAGCAAGCAGATATATAAATCGGACTAGATCTAGCATTTTTTTTTTTTTTTTTTTTTTTTTTATTATTTTTTTTTTTTTTTTTTTTTTTTTTTTTTTTTTGCCAGGGTATTTGCTAGTCAATCTAGTCAGGGTATTTCCAGTCAGGCATTCATATAAATCGTACTAAAGTCAAGCAAGTTAATTCTTGTAAACTATCCATACTGGGTTCAGGGTATTTGCTAGTCTGACAGTGCTGACTAGATTATCATAGATATGGTGTTTTAACATTTGTTTTTATTATTCTCAGTTTTTTAAGGGGATGTTTAGCTTATATTTTATTGATATATATATATTTGTTTTATTTTATTTTTGTTTTTGTGTATTTTTTTATGATTTTACTATTTCACACATTTGATTTTACTGTAAGCTGAGTTTGTCAGAGTTTAGAGTTTGGTTTTAATGCTTTTTTTCCTTTGTTTTTTTTTTTTTTTAATATTTTTTTTTATAAAGCTGAACCACATATAAAATAGAAATCATTTTAGTATGGTGATTAGACTGTTTGTAGAGAAGAAAATATATATACGAAAGCAGAAAATTAGGAGAATAGTGTATAAATTGTTAAGCATAGGTGTATAGTTCGTATAGAGAGTGTATAGAGCGTGTATAGAGCGTGTATAGAGAGTGTGTGTTGAGTCTGTTTTCCAGAGAGTTTGCACGACGATGATTGTAAAATGCGATAGTTTCTAAGGCATTCCAAACGTACTTATATTATTCTAGATATATAAATATTGTATGTAAATATATATATATGTATATTTTTTGTTTGTTTTTTTTTTTTCGTATTTTCATTTGAATATGTTTTCGAAAGTTGCAAGCTCTAAGTAGTTGTAGATTGCCAAAATAAATCGAATAGAAAATTTTTGATATTATTCAATAAGGCATGCATGAAAATATCATATCATATCATATATGTATATATGTGTTTAACAATAGTAAATTTAAATAGAAAAAAAAAACACACACACAAACACATATATTCGTATTAAGTATATATACAGAGTATGTATAAGCGACTTTTATTTCAATTTGTACTCCAAAAATATCCATATCCGCATCCATCCATCTCCATTTATCATGTATGTGTGCAGCTTGACTAAACTTGTAGATAAGCTCAAGCGTTGACTATTCCAATCAAGGTTTCAATATGTAAAGGTTGACAAAATTGAAGTTTTTAATTAAAAACGAAAGTAGATACATCCACTATTTCTTATTGACTGTGGGCATTCGACATTACAACTGTCTATAAAGTATAAACATATATGGTTTGATTTAGCAGAGTCCATCCATTTGTTCGTCCATCCGTATTATCCTTCCATTTATTCTTCTTCATAAAATACTAAAAAGATAGATTGTCTGAGCTCCGGAAAGCGAAAAACTGAATACAAATCAATGAAATACTGCACGCATACATCACTCAGCGGAAAGGATCGATTAGAATATACAGAACTTAGTATGTACATATATACATATATATAAATATATTTATATATGATGTATACATATGATATAAATAAGTAGATTAGAAGCATGCCACATGCAATAGTAAAATTAAAAAGTTTTTCCTTTTTCAAGTTTGATAAAAAGCTTCCTGACTTTAGATTTGACTTGAGTTATCATTTTATATATATGTATGTATATGTATACATAAATACATAGGTAGGTACATATACATATGTATATACGCACATGTATACATATGTACATATATCTACATATATATATACTGCCTTACAGCGACGCGAGTACTGCAGGACCGGCCCTCGCAACTGGAAGTAGAGCTCGTCTCTGTCGCTGACCATTGGGAATTGCTAGCCTAAGTAGCGTTTGCTGCCCAGAGAGAGTATTGGGTGGTTTAGTTACTCCCGTGTCAATAGCAGTTCTTAGCCCAATGAGAGCTCAGACCAGATTAAACCATCAATACATTGTGTATGTATTATAGTAGATGCTTTCATACATCGGACCGGCTCGAGCTCGAGATTCTTTGTTGCTGTGGAGCAATACCCATATATATATATACATATACATATATAAATATATATATTTTTTTATTTGATTAGTTCACAATAAGCAAATTTTGTATTCAATGAATATCGATTATCAACATATCGATATAATCGAGCTGAGTAAGCGGCGTATTTAGGGGACTGCCTTGCTTCATTTGTTTTTTATCAATTTCTTTTTATTTTATTTTAAAAGCTTTAGCATTAACTTTAGGCAATTGTAATGCAATAATATATATATACCTATGTTAATATATATATATTGTATATAGCATTGCCTAACATATTTCAGATATTATATGTATGTATATTAGCGTATTTCATTTATTATCGACAAAAAAAAAAATATATATATAAATATTAAATAAAATTTCGGAATTTAAAAAATTTGCAATTATTTTTACTCTTCTCTTTGAATTTGTTTTTGTTGGTTTTTTTTTTTTATTTCTTCAAGCATTTCAATAAAAATGCTTTCACAATTGAACAAATGCCTAATGTTTAGTTATATATGCATATATTTATATATAGTATATACATACATACGTAATTAAAAAAAAATACAACAAGCATTTCCTTTATTTTAGTTGGTGTTTTGTTATATAAATATATATCATATATTCCTATTATTTTTTTTTTATGCATAACATTCCACGCTGTTAATTGTGTTTCTATTTTGTCTGCTTATTGTTATTGCTTGTTTATTTTTTTATTTTTTATTTTTTAGTTTCAAATATTCTGCAATCATGTTGAATTTCTAAGAAACAAATTTTCCAATTTGCGTTTCGCTTTCATTTTTGCCTCCAGCAAATGGTGTGCGTGTGTCTGTGTGTGGGCGAGTGTGGGAACGTGTGTGGGAGTGTCTGCATGTTTTGTTGGATGTACTTAACCATTTATAATATACATACACATATACATATACATACACATACATGTGCATATGCATATATATGTGTGCGTCTGTTTGTTTGTATATATCATCGAACCATATTCAGATTTATTGTGCACGAATTCGTTGTCTTCCAACTCGGTGACAATCTCGAATTACAATTACTCCATTGGTTAATCACCACCTAAACTTAACGCCTGAACTATACGTGGATCAGCTTTACTACCCTCACGAAACTCTTCCAAGGTTAGCCGATCGTCGTGATTCTTGTCCATTTGATCGAAGATCTTGTCGACACGCTTCTGCGGCGTATTCTCATCCTCCGTCTGCGGCTGTTGGCCCTGCCGGAAAGTAACGAAATTGCATCAATAAGAAATGAATTCTATAAATATTCAATAATGAATTCAATCAATTTCTAATCAATTCAATTCAATTCAATCAATCTGAATCTGACTCTGACTCTGACTGTGACTGTGACTCTGACTCTGACTCTGACTCTGACTCTGACTCTGACTCTGACTCTGACTCTGACTCTGACTTTGACTCTGACACTCCTATTTACATATATTAGAGATGTACATTCCTTTGCTTGCCTCTACTACTTGACTTCTACTCTTTGCATAGTCTCCTCTCTAACAGAGAGAGAGAGAGAAAGATGTGGTCACACGTACAGGCTCATTCCTGCGATTGTCAGTGGACAGTGGGAAGGTGTCAGGGCATTGAAATTCTGGTATCGTGCACATTGTGAAAGCGCAAAGGGAATTCGTTTTTGAGCGCAGTAGTGAAAAAAATATCAAATTAAAAGTTGCCACAACTCCAACAAAAATGTTTTTATTTCTGTTTTCATCCAACTCCCTTTTACGCGCTGTGGCTCCCTCTCCTGGATTTTCTCCCGGGAGACTCCTCGAGCACTTACCACCATTTGATAAATTGCATCGACAATATTGTACATTTCCTCTCGCGTGATGTAGCCATCGTTGTCGACGTCATAGAGACGGAAGGCCCCTATCGAGTGAACAGATTCGTATGTTGAATAATTATTCAGCTCTAGCCGTAACACCGGCTCCACTTACAGTGCAGTTTCTCATCCAGATTTCCACGCGATGTTATGGACAGCGCACGTATGAATTCCTCAAATTCAATAGCTCCATCCTGCCGACATTTTAATTGATTAATTCATTCATTCAATTGATTCGCGTGAAAGCGCCTCACTTACATTGTTCTCATCGAATACTCGAAATACCAACGAGGCAAATTTACTGGGATCACCGTCTGGGAAAAACTGCTTGTAAATTTTGATGAATCCCTGTGCGCAGAGAACGTTCACAATAGATGACAAGAAAATATTGATGAAATTATATCAAAATATATTGAGGATATATATTTAAATGTTTGTTAGTATTTTTAGTATATTTTAATTAAGACACGAGTCTAGAGCAATTCCTCTCGCCTTATTTTGTAACCATTTCAAGTAGTTTCTGTATTGATATTATGAAAAATCGAGTACTTCATATTGAATACCAATCGAATCTCTTTGAGCAGTTATCGATTTACTGTATATATATTCCCCTTGTATTTCGATAAATTCGACTAATCAATTTGTTATCATATTGAATTGGAAATTAAAGCTTAAAGTACTTTTTGAGCAGACCTTGAACATAGAGTATATAGAAGTATATGTACATCAGAGTATAAAAGCATAAACCAATTCGCAGCCAAGACATGTATAAAATTTTAAGCAAACAGATAAATATCATAAAAATTAGTTGAAGTTTTATAGTTTAGTTTGCTTTTACAACGGTGAAAAAAGTTAGTTCTAGTGATTAGAGTAGTTCGTAAAAGTTAAGCAAGAGCTGGAAGTTAGTGGAGCGTATTTACATTAATTGGAATTTCAATTAATTTCAATTTCAGAAAAAACTGACTGGGACAGTCTTAATAGAGCTATATATTTATACATGAAGTAAAAACCGAATTTTAATGCTGCACTAAATTTAATATCAAATAAAAGCAAAGCTCATATGCCATAAAAATGTTCATTTTATTTATTATGATTTTATTTTATTCTATTTTCGAAAGGCTCTGGTAATACATCATTGCATGAGTTGCACGAAAACCGCAAATGCCTTTGTGAGTATGCTGTGAATAAATTATATATCTACATATATGTGTACAAGGCAAAGTTGTATTACCCAACTAGCAGATACCACGTAGTTGCTCTAGTTGTTCAGTATGGGAAATGTTTCTTTCCCCGCTCAACTACGGAGGTGTCTAAACATCTATTCTCAGAGACGATATCGATATCGAGACGGTATCGGGGAATCGATAATATGCCTTATTTGTAGGTTTGTTATAGGAAATCTTATTATCATAATCGAAACCTATTAAGCTAGATAGACATAGTAAATGTTCGCTATATATGGGCTCTCATTTTCGATGATTATCGATTTATTGCAACGAATTTGCGCTTAGCAAAAATCAAAATGAGTAGCTACAATTTTTACATCAAATTTTATAGACGATATCTGGCGATCCACAGAAATGAAAACATGCTCGAATAGGCTACCCATTGAGCTAATACTCGAATTCTTTAAATATGCTCCTCAATTGCTCATCCTACCCAGGATCAACACAATCATATTTGGTGTGTCTAGCTCTTAAATAGTTGGCTTAAGTAAACTTAATTCTCTCACTCACATTACACTAAATCTGGAGTGTTTGCCTCAGACTCAGACGCTGCCTAAGAAATATTTGTTTACTCGACTATTTTGTGTATTCGATGCTGTCGCATGATACCCCTTTGTCAAGCATTCAATACTTATAGTGGAAGTGGGACCTGCGCCCTGGCAGCAACCACATTTTGCACAACACGGGAAAAAAAGCAAGTACAAAATTCAAGTCGAGGCTATTCGACTATGGGATGTCCTTTGAAGAACTGAATAGTTATTCGATAATAATCGATAGCATTAGAATAGTAATAGTTATCGTTGCTTTGAAGCAAACTTGATATAAGCTTGACTTACAGGGAGCTACAATAAAAATTTCCTTTTCTTTCGAAGATCATACAAGCGGACAAAGGCACAGATAGACAGACAGAGAGATAGAGAGTTCTAAATGGACTTAGATCATCAACTTGATCGAGAATCTTTATATACTTTCTGGGTGCGGTCACGCCCATTTCTGGCTGTTGCGAACATTTTAAGGAAACCTTTACGCCCTGACTTTACATTCTGAATGGATTCAGGGTATGGAAAACATGGACAAGTTCCATTGGCAGCCGCAAACAGGCCGCAAAAGGCCCCAGAACTGCGTCACCAATAATCGCGTTGGCATTGGGCGTGGCACAAGGCCAAACAAACATAAAATTTCGAGTATGGCCATAACAAATTTGGCATGTAAATAAAAAAAAGTAAAAATAAAAAGACGAGAAATAAAAAGAAGGAATTTCCAAGTAGTTTTCTCTTTTGTTTAAAATTGTGAATTATCGAATCGAAAGAGGCTGCGAAAAAAAAACAGAGCTCAGTTGGGCATGGTTATAGCTGGGTTAATGGGTTTATATTGCTTCGTTTTTTTTCCTTTAATTTTTGTTATTAATAAATAAAATTATGTAAACGTAGAGGCGTTGGGCTCGCGCCCTTTACTTACTTGTTCAGTCAGCAGACCGTTCGGGCAGTCTTTGAGAAAACCTTTGTGCCTTCAAAGTGACATAGATTTTGTTTGGTTTTTGGTTTTTGGTTTTGTTTTGTTTTGTTTTTGGGATAGCACAGTTTAGAGTTCAGTGAGGTACAGGTAAAACAAAACGAATCCAGAGCAAAATGCAAGAGTTGAAGTAGAGACAGTAGACAGTAGAGAGCGAGAGTATAGAGAGAGGGAGAGAGGTAGACGATTTAAGATTAACAAACAGTCCAAAAATCAGTTGATCAAACGCAAAAGAAGAAGACAAAACAAAAATGAAATAAGTTAAAGCAATTTAAGAGTAAAAATTCTTATTTAAATATCCGAGTATATATGTACATACACTAGTTTATATATTGATAGAACAGAAAACGAAAATGAGAGAAATTCGTACATGGAAAATTCGTTGAATGTAAATATTTAATAATCGAATGTCAACAATTTGGTGTGCATTATTTAATGCTAATTGAGTTTGTGATATTTACATAATGCGAGGCATTCGCAATCGAATATTCGAATATCGAATGCACACACAAACGCACACTCAGAGAGATAGAGATAGAGAGAGAGAGAGAGAGAGACATATGATGATGATTACATTTAATTTGAATTTAAGAAAAAATGAAATGAACAACAAATTATTGTGAATGGAATGAACTCATGTGTGTGTAATACATACATACGCATTAAGAGGCGCTACGATTTGTGACATTTGGCAAATTGCGTATCGCAAATTGCTTTCTAATTGGAACACCCAAAATCTTACCATTGACGTATTTCCTTTTCGGTAACTGCAAAGAGATGGGAGACAGAGAAAGAGAGAGGGAAATATTTACTAGATATTTGAAATGAAAGCGAGTGAGCGCGCTCTAGTCGGCTGTGCACGACTAGCAGTTACCCTGAACTCTACGAAGAGCTTACGGCGGTTTGAATGCATTCGAATTGATTCGGGTTGAGTGAGTGAGTCGCACACAATGAATTGAGTGAGCTTGAGTTTGAGCACGCATTCATCACTCTCTGTATGAATGAATTCGAGCCAACTCTGAATCACTCGAATCACTCAAGTGTTGGCCAAGCTTAATCTTCGTATTTCTCAGTGCATGTTCAGCATTGCGCATTTAGTTGACTATGTTTTATTTTCATTTTATTTTTGTATTGCTGTTGTTTTTATCCTCGCTTACCCGCATTCCCGCTCATGCGATTCGCTTTTTTGTCGCGCACTCATTTACTCAAAGTTTTTTAGCTTCGCATTCAACGTTCTCACTAAACGCATTTTATGCATTGTTAATTCGAGAATTTTTTATGTATGTATGTATTTACCCTGCCAGTAGCTGTGCTTGTGCACGTGCCTGCATCTGTATCTGTGTGCACACACACACACACATAAGCAGATATTCTGCTTACTGCGCAGTTAACGCAGCTTATGGGCTTTACTATAGGAAATTAATTGTTGCACAACCTGAATAACAATTGCGAGATAATGTCATTCGGAATGCGTGTTTTTGGCAAGTAAATGCATTACAGTAATTCCTGATTTGTGAATACATTCGTAATCTCTGTATTCATTGCAGCAGTCCGCATGGCACACTTCAAAGTATCCATCCTTTGCGAGTAATCCATTCATGTTTACAGCAATATATATAAAAACATTATATATCACAATATTTTAATATTCATTGATGTAAGCCTGAAGCGGCTACAGAACTCAGGCTATGATAGAGATACGAAAGTGAGTTATCGATAAAATGGGAAGAAAAATTCGTTATACAGGAATATATAAATAGATAAAAAATATTTATTTGCTTATAAACATATAGCATACTTTATGGGGCCATCCACGCGTATATCCTGCATATCACATTGTGAATCAGTACTTGGCTTATACTGTGGAGTCGACTGCATGATGCTCGCTCACTAAGCAATTAAACTATTGACACTCAAGATTCGTTCACAATACATATTTAAAAGATTTAAAATGTCAACCACAAATCAACAACAAGCTTGTTTATAATTACTGCAGAAACAGCTCGAGTGAAAGAAGGCAATGCTCGATCTCTTTTCAGCAGACTTAGCAAGATGGCAGCACATAAAAAGAAAGAGATACATACATACAAATATCTCGGGACACAGAAAGCTCACAAATAACTGTTGTCCGTTACGCGATGTCTGCCAATGAGTGTATCTCACTCGCACTCAGAGAGCGACCGATTGCATTGGCAGCTGAGCAAGCTCATTCCCGATCGGTTCATAACCGTTTCGCTCTGGCTGCTCTCTGACCGTTTCGTTGAGTTAAATGAAGCGAAATGCCTTTTGTGCATGTATTGGTGTGTTTGCCAGCTTGCTAAACGCATCGATTTAGTGTGTGCGTGTGTATGTGTCTTCTCTTTAGCTATTTTACTCAGCTACTGAGTCTCATTGTGCGCGCGTTAAACGGGTCGATGTTCGTGAAGCGAGCCTCACACGAATGAATCGTGTTGAGAGCGAGAAAGAGAGAGAGAGATATATCATATACATAAAAATATACATATACAAACTATGTAAAATATTGAAGTATAGATTTATAGTCACTCCACTAATATATAGAAATTCTTTATCAAACACAAAACTTAGCCTTATATGTGTGCAGGGTATTTGCAAGTATATATTCCACATATTTCAAGCTCCAACAAACCTGGCAATCAAAAGCAGTGCAGATAGCATTTTAACTAAGTGAATTAGTGAAACAGTTGAACCTCTCATTTGGGATTTACGACTGAAATGGAATCGAATTAGCAATCATCGGTGAGTTGTTCAAGCGAGCACAGCGCTTATGAGTCACAGATGAATAGAATCGCTATATATAGCATATGCAATGAATAATAATAATAGTAATTATAATGATAATAATATTAATAATAATAATACCAGCAATATTAATACTAATGCTGATAATAATCGCCATCATTCACAAGCTCAGCTTTCGCCCGTTCTCTCTAAGCTCGAGCATCCTCGATTGAGCCGAGACTGGGGCCTGGCCTAAGCTGCTTACCTCTGGCCTTATCGGCCGCCAGATGGCCAAGCTGATGAGCTCGTAAACAATTTGGCTCAGCCGCTGAGTTATGCCCTCTTAGGCCAAGTTTGGTCGGCTTACGGACCTCAAATATTGATGGGATGCCATTGGCCGGGCTTAGACCGGCTGACCCCACCAAGGAGCTGGCCAATTGATGTAGATCATCCCCGCCGGAAACATACCAACTGCCTGTCTATGTCCATGTGTATGTGTGCATGTCTGTCTGTGTGCAAGGTTGCATAAAGTTCATATCATTTAATAAATCATTTAATTTATTACCTGGCAGCTCAGCCAAAGAGAGACACACATACATACATACATGTGCAGCTACACCCATGCACATATTAACTATTAAAGCTATGTGCTCAGCTACATATACACACATATATCGATATGTATGTATGTGTGTGTGTGTGTGTGTGTGTGTGTGTGTGTGTGTGTGTGTG